TTTCCTCTAATACTCTTTAACTTCCATGTGCTTGTGTGTCTTGGATATGTTCACTGCACTTCCTGGCCACTGAAAACATTATGAGTAGCAGTGAAACACTTTTGTAGGCAGGCAGAATTCCTTTGAATTTAACCCACACTTATATTTGAAAACTTTATCCCTCTGCAATTCCTGAAGCTATAATAGAAACCCTACATAGAGCTTTGGTCTAAAAATGGGACCTATATAAAAGTGTTCTGTTTCCTTATAAGTAATGAGCCACTGGAAATTCTCTTGACTCCCAATTGGAAGGTAAAGTGTGTCATCCTGTGTGCTTGGCAGGTTTTTGTCACACCTCCTCCTGTTCTTGCACTTGGACAGCGGCGTCCCTCAGGGTGTCACACAGCAGGTCACCCACAAGGTGGCACAGCACCTGACGGGAACCAGCCACGGGGACAGCGTGAAGCTTCTCAACAGCATGATCCAGGTCAGGGCCCTAGCAAACCCCTAAACACACCCTCACCCATCTTTCCAACCAGAAACTGCTAGTGTTAACACATTTATGTTTGGGTCGTTTCAAAACTCGGCCCAGTGTTCTTGGCCAAGAAGGTTAACAAGTTTGGGCTTACCAGTGGAAGTAGATATTATTTTGTTGGTATTTTAAAAATACGGGACTGTGGGAGGTTAGAGGCTGGTTGTTACCTGTCGTCACGTCACCTGAGCCTTTCCTCCACAGGCGCACATATCCGTAAGCACTCAGCCTAACGAAGTGGGTCCTGTTGCTGTATTGGAGTTCTGGGTTCAGGCTTTGATAAGCCAACATCTTTGGTACCGGGAACAACCCATCCTCTTCCTCATGGACCACTTGTGTAAAACAGCTTTTCAGCTGATGCAAGAAGACTGTGTGCAGAAATTACTGTACCAGCAACACAAGGTAAACCTTGTTAGAGAACTTAACTTTCAGTCATTGAAATCCTCCATTGTTTCCCAAAATGCATAGTTGTCAGTCCTCTGGCCACTGCCTTTTTTAAGCTTAGTGTTACTGGTGACTTACCTCAAAACCACTAGCACAGAGCCCAGAGAAGTCAGAAGAAAGAGCACCTATAAAAATGGCATGGTTGGAGTCTCTGACTTTGTCTTAACTTCACAGTAGGGAGAGAGAATCACTATTTGCATCAACCCAAAGCTGAATTCTGTGAACCAGAGGTCAGTCCTACCTCCTGTCTCCACCTTTTTTATTATTTCTGACATCAGCCATCCCTCCCATGGATATATCCCTTCTCTGCTTGGTTGGATAATTTGTTCCAGTGTCCACACAGAATTCACAGACGATACACATGATTATAGAGTTTATTAGGGAAGTAACAGGTTACAATTCAGGATCAGGAAAACTCAAGATACAGTATTTAATCAGGAAAGCTGCTTCTTGCTCTCTGCCACTGGGCCTGCTTGGGCAGGTGTTACAAAACCTGTTCAGCTCTGCTGATAAGTAGTTGAAGACACCTCACTCTGTCAGTAAGCCTCTGCCTGGAGATGCTCAGCCTTCTGGCACCATGGATTGGCAAGCTTAGCTCCACTTCAGAGTTTCCAGAGGCACCCACTCCGCCAGCAAGCTTCCTGCCTGAAGGCACTCAGCTTTCTTGCTCTGTGGGCCAAGAAGCCCACTGTGTCATCCCTGCCAATCTCCTGGTTCTGTTGCTGCTGGCTCTCTGCTGTGCTGACTGCTGCTTCTCACTGTCTTGCACCATGTCTGGTGTTACAGCTCTCTGTCTGCTGGGTTTAGCAGGTTCTCAGTGCAGGGACCCTGGGTCCAAATGACTCATTCTGTTCCCGGCTCTTCTTTTTCAGTGGTGGCAAGATCTTCCCTGCTCTGGGATTGGCTTGCTTTTAAG